GATGGCCTCCAACCTAATAGCAATGGCCTCCAACCTAGAAGTGATGGCCTCCAACCTAATAGCAATTGGCCTCCGAACCAAAAGTGATCGCCTCCAACCTAATCGCAATTGGCCTCCAACATAGAAGTGTTGCTATTGGCCTCCGAACTAGAAGTGATCCTCCAACCTAATAGCAATTGGCCTCCGAACTAGAAGTGATGGCCTCCAACCTACCAGCAAAGGCCTCCAACCTGGAAGTGATGGCCTCCAACCTAGTAGCAATTGGCCTCCGAACTAGAAGCGATGGCCTCCAACCTAGTAGCAATTGCCTCCGAACTAGAGGTGATGGCCTCCAACCTAATAGCAATGCCCTCCAACCTTGGCAATTGGCCTCCGAACTAGAAGTGATGGCCTCCAACCTAATAGAAATTGGCCTCCAACCTAGAAGTGATGGCCTCCAACCTCATGGCAATGGCCTCCAACCTAGTAGTGATGGCCTCCAACCTAATAGCTCCGAACTAAAAGTGATGGCCTCCAACCTAATAGCAATTGGCCTCCGAACTAGAAGCGATGGCCTCCAACCTAATGGCAGTGGCCTCCAATCTAGAAGTGATGGCCTCCAACCAAATAGCAATGGCCTCCAACCTGGAAGTGATGGCCTCCAACCTAATCAATTGGCCTCGGAACTAGAAGGGATGGCCTCCAACCTAATATGGAATGGCCTCCAACCTAGAAGTGATGGCCTCCAACCTGATAGCAATGGCCTCCAACCTAGAAGTGATGGCCTCCAACCTAAGAGCTACGGCCTCCAACCTAGAAGTGCTGGCCTCCAACCTAGAAGCGATGGCCTCCAACCTAATAGCAATGGCCTCCAACCTAAGAGCGATGGCCTCCAACCTAGAAGCGATGGCCTCCACCTACTAATTCAAATGGCCTCCAACCCAGAGGTGATGGCCTCCAACCTAATAGCAATTGGCCTCTGAACTAGAAGTGATGGCCTCGAACCTAATGGCAAGGGCCTCCAACCCTAGAAGTGATGGCCTCCAACCTAAAAGCAATGACCTCCAGCTTAGAAGCGATTGCCTCCAACCTAATAGAGATGGCCTCCAACCTAGAAGCGATGGCCTCCAACCCAATAGCAATGGCCTCCAACCTAGCAGCAAAGATATATCTTTGGATATGATGCGATTCGGCCATGTGTTCTGCTAAACAAAAGGATGCAAGTTTTTGCCAGCGTTGTTTGCCTTACTTGGAAGGGTCTATTCATATCTACAACGTTTGGTTGAAGTGCACACTGCACGTTTGAACATGCCTCAGACATATACTGTCATTGATCGTAAGAGAACTTGAGTTGCTCCTTCTGAGAAGACCGCATGGCCACAAGCAGGGCACCTCCGCAGAAGAACACCATCGGGAGATGTCAGTATTTATTTCATGCCTCACGAGCAATATATCGATTGGCTTTGATTGGTGAATCTTGACATCCTGGATGGAGGTTGAATCTAAGGCTATATGCGCTCCAGACCTCAGACGTCCTTCGAAACGCAATGGGAAGGCGGGGCAAGGTCAGTCGGCCCCAGCCCCCATCATAGCCAATTCCTAGTCACGACGTGAGTCCTGACACATTCTCGTGCTCTTTTGGAGTTTGTAACCAGTGCTACGCATCGGTCGTTTGCACACTTGAAGGGTGTTGGCAATGCACATGGCTGCAGGTCAGAAGTCTGGCCGAAGAAAACCCATAGGTTGACCCCGTTGACCCCTGGCAGTCCATTCTGTTCAGGTGGGGATCAATGCAACATTCCTTGTGCCATGCAGAACTCCTCTCTGCATACCCGTGACTCAATGAAGCCCCTTCTCTCTATTTCGGAAATATGGCGAAGCTCGCTACACTACACCCGGGTGTCATCTCGCTGGCCTCCAACCTAACAGCGATGCCCTTGTTACTAGTAGCGTCCTTGTTCCTAGTAGTAATGCACTTGTTACTCGTTACTAGTAGCGATGCCCTCGTTACTACTAGCGATGGCCTCCAACCTAATAGCGAAGCTTGCTACACCCAGGTGTCATCTCGATGTGCCCCAAAGCATTGAACTCTTCATCTTCGCTGGCAAGTCAATTCTGGTTCCTCACAGAAACACAAAACGAACCTGTCAAGCCGACGGCATTGAGCTGATGCAACTGCACGAAGAGCGGATCCTGCACATCTGACCGACCCCAGGACATCGGAGGCCGAGCCGAGCTGAGCTGAGCCGAGCGGAGCTGAGACCGTCCTTGGAGCTGGCCTTGAGCTGCCGCTCCAGGTACAACGTCCCGAAGGCCGAAGTGACGATGACACCCACCATGGCGGCAAACTGGGCACGCGCGCAGCCGGGCGCAGCCGGGTGTAGCCCGGCTGGTGTTCGGAAAACGCCAATCCAGGATGGTTCTGGGGAAAAAAAAAGCCTTCACTTGCAGTAAAGAACAGCATGCCACTATGGCTTGTGGCTTGTGGAGCCGTCTCTTGACCAAGGACCATCTTTCAAGCAACGCCACAGGCTTGTCACGTGATGTCAAAGCCTTCAGTTCCAAAAAACCAGAATCCGTTCAATGCCGTCTTGACTCCGGAAAGCCAAGGAGTGAAAGTCATGTCATCCCATCCAGAGTCACGTCTTCGGGCCGCCAAGCACTGAGCATGAAGCTCACCTGATCCTGGGCGCCAGAATGAATTCGAAGACAGCTGTCATGCGATGAGGTCTGCCAAGCTGTCATGCGATTACACTTCCTAATCGTCAATCATCCACATTCTTCTCATCCAATTCCTCTCAGCAATACCATTCAACAGATTTGACCATCCCCTGGCCTCACTGCTTTCGCTTTCACCTCAAACAGTGTGAGGTCAATGGAAAAGCAGGACCCGTGGTCGATTGTGCTGATCCCCTGCGGTTTGACGAACTTGGTTGCCAACTTGTAGGTACTGCTTGCAGAGCCTGCAGCACAATGTACATAGAAAGGCTCTGACGAAAAGATTCAAATCTACAATTGTCATGTGCAAATTCCAATGTGTGAAAGTTCTCCAAGCTCCATGAATGAGTGTCTCAAAAAGAAGGACTCTCTTAGTCCATTCCCTGAAGGTCACCAAGGTTCCCACTGCAGCCGGCAAAAAAGTGGCAGCCGACTTCTCCCGCCACAGCGCCAGCCTGGTCAGAGCCAGGAGTCAATCAGAACAGCTCTGGTGAGTCCCAAAAGGGCCAAGAATGAGAAACTAATAGTTTCTAAGCCTAAGGAAAGACGTCTAGCTTTGTAGCCATCGCGTGTTGCTTTCTGCAGAAAATGAATAAATGAGACACAAAGAAAGCATGCCTTGTACCAAACCAGGACAACCTGCGAGAAGAACACTTGTTCAACACACTTGGCGGGTGGAAACGCGGCGACCAGGGCACAGGCCATACCCAAGACCAGCTGGGTCAACGATATCCAAACCTGTGCCAAAGCCAGAAAATGGTGGTGACAGCGGACGCCACAACTATCCTGCCCCAATGCTAGCAATGGCCTCCAACCTACTATAGCGATGGCCTCCAACCTAATAGCGATGGCCTCCCCCTACTGTTACACTCAGCAGCAGGCTGTGGCTGGTTGACGAACACGGCTCGCCCAGCGCATAAAGACCTCTGTGGAGCAGCTTTACTCCGAGCTTTACTCGTCGGATAGGTCACATGGCGAAAGGTGGCCCGACTTGACAACCATATCTATCTCAAAATGCACCAAAACACAATGGCTCTACGAAAGTTCAGGTTGAGACTTATGGGTATCAGAAGGATCGGTATCATGGAGAAAATTTGCCTGTGATGGATGGACTGGGCCAGGGTACTGCAATGATGGCGACTCTAAGCTGTGCCAGGAGGTAGAACTGACTGGCACCGAAGCCTGGTGGCAAGGGAGAGGTCAAGAACACCATCAGTCCATCAGTCTTATATTGCCATCAAACTGACGTTTTGGTTCCTCTTCTCATCTGCTTAGAAATCTAGTTTCGTTTGCCCGGCCAAGACAGGGTAAAGCCAGCATGTTCATCACAACAGTCCAGTATTGGAGCGTTTCAAGAGCAATCAATTTGTCACCAATCCGTTCCTTTTCCGATCTACCTCCAAAAAAAACCGGACCGTACGCCTTTGATAGCCGGGTAGGTCATGAAGCCCGCCCAGCTGTAGGCCAATGATGCAGGCATAAAGGCCAAGTACCTCGTTTCATGTCCTTCCGTTCGTAGAAATCTGGGCTCAAGCCATGTGTAGTTGATGTCTCAGCTATTTGGTAAGTGAGAGTAATGTCCAAGACAGTAAGAGGACAGACCATAGTCATCTACCGAGTAGATCAGCAGAATTCGTAATCACCGGACCTCAAAGGCTGAAAGCATCGACGCATGCCATGCAAGCCTGGCGAAGGGCGATCTCAAGGCTGTCGTGTGGGAGAAGAACTCAGGCGACCGCATTGCGTCGAGTGGGCATCCTTTTGTGAGTATGTGGTCCCGCTTGACAGCCCCTTGTGTTGCCCAGACTGACGAGCAACAATGGTCAAGGATAGTCTCTACGATCTACCTCTGGGCTCTTAAGACTGCAACACCATTTAAGCGCTGTGGAACACCGACAGGCGAGCCTTGCTGTCACAGGGTCCGGTGATGGCACCCCCAACAATCGGGCTCATATGTGGGTCACACAACCTATTGTCTTGTGTCCTTTAGAAGACAAACAGCGGTTGGTGCTGCTTCAATGACACCAGCCTTCCCACATCACTGCCAGGGACAGCCCACCAAAGAAGTATGTCAAGGTCTCTCCCTCAGAGAAACATCCATAGACTGATCACAGCGTTTGGCCGCTCAGAAGCCATGCTTTTGATGGAGCTTCAAACCTAAGGGTGACACGAGCACCATCAAGGATCCCGGGAAGCCTGTGAGTCCGATTTCACGGCATCCGAATGTCGGAACCTTGGGATTTGACATGTCGGTGACATCACGTGACATCCAGTCAGTTTACGTCATATTAGACCTTTCTTCCTTTTCGTTTTCCTTGTTTCTAATAGCGATGGCCTCCAACCTACTCGAATGAAATTTTGGTGACATCATGTGACATCCAGTCAGTTCGCGAGGACCAAGCTCTTTGAAGCCTGCTCCTGATCTCGCAAATGGTCGTGGGTTGATCATCAAGTGCCCAGCAGTTGGACATTACTTACATATTTTGCATCTGTTCACAAAGTCTTTTCCACAAGAGGATGCTGTCCTGCAACAGTGGAGCCATTGCATCCACAAGCACGCAAGTGGCCTGCAATGCGAAGGCTGAGACAAAGTATACATTTAGGCCAAGGGTCATTCTGTCATCCATAGCTGAAGAGATGGATCCAACCTGTCTGGTTCATCTAAAACATGCCGGGGATGCAATCAGAGCTGCCTTGGAAGATGTTCCTGAAACAAACGGTAACAAACAGAATAAACATATTCTAATCTTGGACGGAAGAAGTTGTGTGTTTCTGTCTAAATTAACGCGGGAAGAAATAGCCTGATCGAGCGGTCTGCGTTTCGCCTGTGTTTCCAGTTCCTGGTGTATTGTGTTTTTGCCTGCTCTACTTCATATAACTGTACACCAATATGCTGTGCCCGGCGCCTTGACTTGAAGGTGGCGGACTAGACTTCAAGATCTGGTCCTGAAACCAACAAAGTCAGGCTCCTGCAATCCTGTCTAGGGCAGGATGTTCGAGCTGCAAAAACAAAAACGTCTCCGAAAAGGATTAAACGAACTCCTGGTCCTCACCAACAGACATGCTCAAATCAACCTGCACACGAGGAAATAGAGCAGACTCTTGCGTGGCATGCTAGGTACAAAAGAAATGAAAGGAAAAAGATGCAATAAGCAAAAAAACTAGTTCTCACCGAGTTCTCACAAGACCCCTCTGAACTACATACGGGCGAGTGGACTCTGCTTCACGCCCCTGGAGGGCCCCTTCATCACTCAAGAAATCGATCAACCCGATCGGCCTGGGTATTTGGGACATTCGGCATTAGAGAAAAACCATGTTGGTCTCAGTCATTTGGTATTCTTTCAGCACACAAGGCATCGAAATCCTGAAGTTTGCCAATTGCCACTTGTTGCTGCAAACAATCGCGAGCTACCATCTCATTCATATTAGAGAACACGAGACCAAGGCCCAGAGTGAAATGTAAATTCCTGATTTTTTTGTGTGCTGATCAAGGGATCCATTACCGCACTGTGTGAACACATGGTAGATGTATATGTTCTTGTAGTTTTTGTAGAATTCTAGTTGAAAACTTCACATCTGTCCCATCTCTACACGACACCAGCCAAATTGGCAGAAAGCATACATGAAAAGTTTCAGCTTGCTTTGCATCTAAGACATCCGCGTCTTGTTCAAGGAGTGCATCTTCTTCACCAAATAGACTCCTTTTCCACATAGTAGGCAGCTCGCTTCTGGGCTGACTTAATCTCAATTCCGCTGCACATTCCCTTTTCAAGGCCTCCCTTTCAAGTCCTTTCACCAAATGAGCAGATTGCATGAAAACCAAGCTAAACAGAAATACAGCAGAAAACGGTCGGTGAACAGGGAGAACGGACGAATGTGCACACCGTTGCAATAGTAACTACGGAACTTGCAACAACAAGACCTTTCCCATGGCTCGTCCATGAGCTTCAACTTGATCTTGACTAAATGAGACTGTACAATAACCTGTTGTCCAGACCATTCTTTGGATCTATATATTCATTCATACAAGAACACAACTCATTGCTCACCACTCAATGGCATGTAAACACGTTTTAACCATCTGGACTGAAGTGCTGGGGCAAAGCCTCCAGTGTTTAAAAGTCAGCCGTAGGAATTGTGTCTTCTGTGTTGCACAATCCAATCAGCACTTTTTCAGAAATCTCACCCTCGGCCAGTGTATTCCAGGCTGCTGGCGATGTGGGAGAAGGTCTCAACAAGCTTCACTCCGTCTACTGAGACATGAAAATGTCCATCTCCCGTAGCCCCAACCATCTTCCGAAGCACGGTGGAGTCTTCTTTCCGAAAGATGATTGCATGGAAGTCCAACGATGGAAACTCCTGCCTCATGTCCCTCATGGTCTGGATGCAATCGCCATCACCATTGCTACCATCAGTCATGAAGACCAAGACAGGTGTGAGCCTTTGGTCCTGCTGTGCACCTATCCGCATCAAGCGGAGGGCTGTTGCCAGTGCTGGCTCAAACCATGTTTTGTGCGTTCTCTCGCCTGTGTCCCTCGTCAACTCAAGGCACATGGCTTGCTTGACATCACCAAGCTGCAACACAGTGTGTGCATCCTGTGCAAACTGGATGATCGACACTTTCGCTGAAAGCACCCTTTGCAACTTCTGCATGAAGGCGCCATGGGCTTTCTTCAGCTCCTCCCACGGTGACCCACGCATCGAGCCGGACTCGTCGTAGCAGCATATGAAGTGGTAGGCATTGGTGTTGCTGCCACCACCCAGCTGCTCATACAACTTTCTGAGTCTGTCTCTCGCAAGTGGGCAATTTGCTTCAAGAAGAGCGTTGAAATACGAACGAGATTCACAATCCAAGGCATTAGCTTCCTCCAACGTCTTTTCCATGTCCTTGCTGCGGCAAGCTTGCTTCTTCTCCCTTGCTGAGCAAAGTGCATTATAGCAGCGTTCAGCTGGCATGTTTCGCAGGTGAAGAGGATCCAATCCAAGCTCCTTAACCTCCGAATCTGCCAGGATAAGCGAGTAGGTGCCGCTCTTCCCTTGGCGAGCAGTGCGCCCCTGGATCTGAACCTCTTCACTCTTGTCCTCGGAAAAGAAGGTCTGGATGACATGGACTCCACCGGCCTCCCAAGCATTGCCAAACAGAATGGCTGAACATGCAAAGAGAATCTTTCTCTAGACCCTAGATGGATTGCACAGCATCAGAACCAGACACAAAAGTGTTTGCAGGTGCTGCAGAAGCAATGAATCATATCCAACCACAAATCAGCATTGCAAGTGCTTGTGAGTGCGTGATTGAATCTGTTGGAAAATGACCCCATCTTTTCAAGCATTGAAAGCCCTTCTCCACCCATGGCCTTCTCAAGTTTTTTGTCGAAACCTGTGGCACAAAATTGGTCAGTTCAGTCTCACGAGCCAGCTGTCCAAATGAGCAAATGCACACCAGAAGCGGGCGTGCAGCAAGCATGCGTCCAAGACACTGTAGAAGTCAACTCCCCTTCCAAAGATTCGCGGTGCCTCATTGCACAAGTACTGGCACATATACGGCCCACACATGCCCACATATCTAGGTTGCAAATCAGACTTTTATGGCTTTAGGTTCAAGGTATGCGTGACCACTCATGCAAGATGCCAGTTGCACAACAGCAATAGGGCGTCGGCGAGCGTGACTTGAGCAGCCGTTGCGGCCTTCTTCGCCATCCAGTCTTTGTCTGAGTCAGGAAGATTTGGAAGCAGCACATTCCTCAAATGGAATGCCACACATGCTGTAAACTCCAAAAGATTGCAGATCAAAAACAATGCAGCCAAGGATCTTGTTGGACATGTTGCTGTAGTAAGATGACTCCATGAATTCCTTGACTTGCGGCACATCGCGGAAGAACACAATGACAGCTCGATCTTCATCCACCTTCTTGGATACCTGACATGTTGGACAGAAAGAAAACATGTCTGTCCAGTAAAACAAGCGAACAGTCTTTGGCATTCAAGCGCACACTGAACTGGAGCTAGCCACAAGAGCTCACTGTCACTTAGAGAGTACTAGTGAAATCAAAAGTTACCCCCAACTTGCCAGTGGCCTGACTGAAAATGTCGAAGGCATGGTCCTCATCTGTAGAAATGGTGATGGCAGAGCCTTGATTCAAGAAGGCAAAATGGTTCCGGCCGTAAACGGATGGGACGACTGTGTAGCTTGTGATGCCGAATCGGCGCATGACCTCCCATTGATGCTTGCTCAAAGCTGTGACGGTCCCGGACACACCCAATACCTTGGGCGAGCCCAACTTTGCATATGAGAATCTACCACAAGGTATTTGCAGTGACAGGGCCTTTCGCAGCGTGGCCTTGTCTAGCATACGCCCTTTGGTCTCTTCATGCAGGTATGCAAACGCTGTCCTGTACCCCTTCACAACGTCCCAGACAACACCATCAAGGACCTTGTAGCCAACTTTGCCACCATCAAAGATGTAATCAGGGCAAGATTTCAAGAAGTGATCCTTCAGGTGGTTCTTCAGGTCCACACACATCTTCACGGCCTCAGACTTCACAATGTCTGCAAAATCCGGAAACTTCTTGGCCACGGCCTCAAATTGCTCTGATTCAAGCACTTTTTGAACCAATGCTGCTGTATTCATTGCCTCGTCCCGGTTCTTCCAAATTTCTCGGAGAAGGTCCTCGACCTCTGGCGATTCTAGAAGTGCCACTTGATTGTGCGTTTGACCATTAAAGTGGCTCCCGCACAGAACGTCTACTTCATCGACCAGAAGGATCTCTTCTTGGAGCTTTTCCGCTGGAAGCTTTGCCTGCAGTAGGAATTGGAACAACTATCTGCTGCATAGGAAAAAACATTTGAAGCGAAAACAGCAGCTATTTTCTCGCTGCTTGCAGGTTTGGAGCGTGCGGCATAAGCATTACTCTTTGTTTCAAGTCAAAGCTTAACAACCAATCCGGAGACTGGCGGAAGAGTGGAGACCAGGAACATGCGACTATGCTCAAAAGGATTGATCTTGACGTCATTTGGATTTGTGGCAGGCGAGTGAGCGGACGAGATCTTGAAAGCTATTTCGTGAATTTTCCGGCCCCCACATTGACTCCGGCTGTCAGCAACTGGATTCCTCACCTTCAGTCAACCTATCGAAATCTGGAAAATGCGAAGCCTCATGAGCCAAGCCTGAATGAAAGTGCCGGTGCACAAAACTAGAAGTGTACCAAGCTTTTGAGGGTTGGAGTGCACGAGAAGTGTACCAAGGTGTTTAGAAGTGGTGCACAAATCGGAAGTGTACCAAGTTTGAAACTCGCATACCGAAGCCTTTCTTTAGGAGCAGAAAAGGACCGCCTACGGTCACGCGGGTTATGAGCCCAAGTTTTTTCGGTCGGTGAAGACCACCCTGGGTTCCTCGTGTGGAGGACCAGGTTGCTGGCCGCCATGTCGCGGCGAGCGGCGAGCGCGGCGAGCGCGGCGGCTGCTGGCGGCGCGGCTGGCATCGAATCCCCCGAAGGGGGGTCCTCCATGGAAAGTGCCAAGGAGGAAGCTGGCACTTTGGCCCTGGAGGACGCTCCTCCAGAGGCTGGGATCCTGGCCGTGACGACCCAGGAGATGCTGTGATCCATCTGGGTATGAACCTCCTGAGGGACGACGTCTTCGCCTACCTGTTGGACATCGCTGACAGTGGCTCGCTGTGCACTCTGTTGGGAGGTCCACCATGCCGGACGATGAGCCGTCTTCGGTATCGACAGCCTGGACCGCCACCACTGAGGCAGAGGGAAGGACCACATCGGTTTGGCTTGCCGCAGTTGGACAGGTATCTTCGAAAGCAGGTTGAGGACGACACTATCCTCTATCTCCGGCAGCTCTACCTGTACCATCGTGCGGCGACGGCGAGAAGGTCCAGGGTGACACTGTCGGCACTGGAGCAGCCGGAGGATCCAGAAGAGTACATCAGGGAGGAGGAGAAGAGCCTGCAGCGCTATGCTTCCTACTGGTGCTGGCCCGAGTGGAAGGCCTCAAGCATGATTGAGGTCAGCTTCGACCAGGGTCCGATGGGGCATCAGAGAAGGAAGCCTACGAGGCTGGGCACGAACATCCTCAAGCTCTCGGAACTGCAGGACATCCAAGGCCCTGTGCTCATCAGAGGAGGTGACGAAGGGGAGGAGGCAGCCGAGGAGATGCTGGGCAGCGTGGAAGTCTACTCAGACGCTTCGTACGCCTCATCTGGCCTCAAGAGCCTGACGGGGATCGTCGTGTGCTATGGCGGAACCCCTATCGCTTGGCATACCACTCGTCAGGCATTCATCACCCTTTCTACGGCGGAGGCGGAGCTGATGTCCTTGCTGGAGAGTCTGGTGACAGTCCGATCGACAGGATCCCTTGTCGAAGCCGTGCTTGAGAGAAAGGTGAAGCTGAGGATGCACTCGGACTGCACAGCGGCCATAGCGATTGCGTCAGGCACGACATCGTCATGGAGGACACGCCACCTACGGATTTGAGCCGCTGGATTGACGGAGGCCCTAAGGTCAGGAGAGGTCTCTCTGAGACATGTGGCCGGCACAGAGTTGGTGGCGGATGGAACGACGAAACAGTTGACTGGCCAGCCACTCAAGACCTTCAAGGAGACCCTGGGCTTGGAGAAGATCCAGGTGACGGAGAAGGTGGAGGTCAAGAGATTGGAGATTGGAAGAAAGAGTCCTGACTCCAAGTTCGCGAAAGGGCTGGGACTGCTGATTGCGGCTACAAGCATGATCACCTATGCCGAGGCCACCGACCGACAGTCAGTCGGATGGTGGAAGCAGTGAATGGTGGATCTTCGTCCTTCTCACAGCGGCCATTGCGATCATCGGGGACATCCTGTTTCGTGTGGGCACAGCTGGAGTCAAACGATGGATGGCACCAAAGGAGGAGCTTAAGGTGAAACTCCTTCATCCAGAAGCACGACTACCGACCCGAGGGTCAGAGCAGGCGGCTAGACTGGACTTGTATTCAGTCATCGAGACCATGGTTCCCACTGGAGACAGTGTTTTGGTGAAGACGGGCATTGCAATTGAGCTCCCCTCGAGACTGGCACTGGGGTCATTAATGACCGAGACTTCCGAGAAGTGAAAGTGCTCCTCCGGAACTGGAACGACGAGGACCTCTTCATCTACAAGGGTGACCGAGTGGCACAACTGGTGGTCGAGAAGATCCTGGAAGTGGGGGTCAACAACGTCGAGAACCTGACGGAAACCGTTCGCGGCTCGAGGGGCTTCGGCTATTCCGGGCATGAAGAGGCCTACCCGTGGGCTGAGCCTGATGATCCCCTCTATCAACGCCAAGAACTGGGAACCAGGAATCCAGTCGACCGGATTTCCATCGGGCGCTGAGAGTTGGAGGTGGACGACGTGAAGCTGCCGAGAACAGGGGCACCCAGACGGAGGCCGTGGGAGGAGACGGACTATCTCAGGATCTTCACAGAGCCCCTGCTGACCTTCGAGTACACGATTCTGAACTATGGTGTCGAGGAGCATATGACGCTGAGGCAGAAGAGAGGCGTCGGGCGAACCTGGGTTTGCCTATGAGTGCTTGGGACCGTTACATGGTAAGGCGAGGACCTCGGCGAGATCACGGAGGCACATGGGTGATGATTGAGGGGGTGCACTTCATCGCACAGGATCCAGGTGACGGTCGGGGAACGTCACGGAACACCGACTCCGGAGCTCGAGGAAGTGGAGGAGATGGGGCACAACCTCAAGAAGGAGACGTTCAGCCAGGAGGTCATTCTCAGGGAAGGCTGCCGAGGGTGGAACCGCTGAGGCTGGTCTCGACGGTTGAGAAGGGCATCGTGCTGGGAAAGTGATGCCATGAGGAGGAGATGTGGGACTGTTTGAGAACCCCAGGCTTTCAGAAGGGCTTCATCAATGAGGCGGTGCTGAAGGTCATCTCCACCCCGCCGCGACGAACTGCGGCCAAGGACTCCTGGGACTACCTGATCGATCATGAAGGAGGGAAGAAGATTGGTGTAGTTACAAGTGACTAGCCGACGAACACCACTAATCGCACCTGTTTTGCCTTGAGCCAAAGTAGCACGAGTGAAACGATGGCAACCGGTCCCCCGGTACGTGCGATTCGGACGAAACCGACTCCTGCCTTTGAGATGGAGAGGATAGTTGACCTCAAGAGCAGAGAAATCACTGATATGTTCATGCTAGTGTTCACTCGTACTGCAATGCTATACACATGCCGGAGTCAGCTCAAGAAGAAACAGCACAAGCTTTTGACGCATCAGGCGGTAAGTGCACGATTGGCCTTTCAGAAAGCAGGAGTATCACCGGTCGGCACACGCTCCCGCGTGGCGAATCAGCACTACAAAAGTATGTGCGTCTCTCGGACTTGCAATGTGACAGGTTCTTCGACCTTCATCATTCGAATTAAATCTTGCTGGCGCAAAAGCGAAGTTCGGCATCCGGTCCCCCGGTGCAACACAGAAGCGATCATCAAGGGCAACCGCTCCCGCGGTGCGATGGAGGAAGAACAGCCTCACAGTTGAGAGCCATGCTGCCTGTTGGATGTTTCCTTTTTGTTTGGGTTTTTGGTTTTGAATCCAAAGGCAACGACTCCCGTCGTGCGAATGTTCCTACCAGTTGCGTGAGCTCCACCAGTCACCATCCTTGGTTCCAGTCTCCGCTGCGATTCCATGATGAGGAAGCGGATGACCATTGGGATTGGCGCCAATCATCATGAGCACGTGCCTGATCCTGTGCAGCCCTTGCTAGGGCTTTGGCTGATGCGGAGTCTGCTTTCGCTCGAGGGACTACCATGGTCCTAGTCTCCTTGCCAAGCTGCAAGTCAACATTCGGAATGAAGGCAATATCCTCAGCGATGAAGTCGAGCAGAAGCTGGAGAAGCTCATCTGGATCCTTTTCATCAGTCTTCCACTCAGAGTGGAATCCCAATATTGGCGGGCGCTTTGCGTTCTGGGCATAGCTTGCTGCAAAGACCTCGGGGCGGTAGAGCCGGTTTTTCCAATACACCAGGAAATCCTCGCTCATGTCCGCCTCTCCCACCTTCTCAGGATCGTTGATGTAAATCAACTTCCCAGCATAGCGATGGCCGACACCCTGCGTGATCATCTGATGCGTTCTTGGTGGGTCTGGAATGACCGCGTTTGCCAATTTCTCCAAGAAGCTGATGCAGAGCGGTGACAGATCTTGCGCCGCGCAGTTGAAGGCATACAGAGGATCTGTCAACTGCCTCTTCGAGATGGTCATGCCCATCTTGTCTGCTTTGTTCACATGGCTTCGAGCATTTGACTTCAGGATGTTGATACCTGACCGTGCAGCTCGTGGATCATGGCCATGCGTCTGCCGGTTCCCTGTAGCCGATCTTCCTGGACCATATCGAGTGAGAGTTCAACGCCCATTTCAGAGGCGATTTCTTCCATTCGAATGACCTGGGCGGCCTTGCAAAGGTCCGACGCGGTATTCAGGAAGGTACCGCACTTGCCACAACACATTGAGCCAAAGGTGAAGTGGAGTTCACAAGTAGGGCAGTGCCGTTCAGGCATTTGAATCCCCTCCACCACAAGCCATTGCGTCTTGCCATAGCCCTCTTTCGCTGGATCACAGGCTCTAAAGTCGAATCTTGGCCGGTTGTAGTTCGGCAGCATGTCCGTGGGGCTGATGCTGTTGCGATTCGCCCGGAAATTTGGCCGCCGAGTGACATACATTGTCTCAAGCACCTTGAGATCCGGCAGATTCTTTCCAGCCTTCATCTGATCCTTGACACCCTGCACCGGGTACTGACCACCGAAGATAAAAGGATGAAATGTGG